TTAGTCTCATTCCTTGAACATTTCATGAGCTCAGTCCTCATGTCACATACCTCTTCTTTCAGTTGCTGCACCACCTCCATTTTTTCCCGTTGTCTTTGCATTATCTTCAATCTGTCTTCAAGGAATTTGTTCTGCATCTTCAATTCTGCAATTGTAGTGTCCCTTTCAAATATATCTAATTGCAGATCATCCCCATTAGTCAGTCAACCCACTTCATAAAATTGCAATTGGTATTCTGCACCAAAAAAATACCCCTTTTAATCAAAACCCTAATTACAATTGGGATATAATTTTGCCAAAAAAATATAGATAAATTTGGACTAATTAGGACTAATTAAACCTTAAATAACTACATTTTAACCATTACCGTCCATTTTGGGCATCCATAAAATCTGGATCCAATGTTATGCCCCTTCTTCACAGTTCGCACAACGGCGTCCAAACCACAACTGCATATCGTCGTGGTGTACAAACCTCCTCGCGAGTTTGAAGAAGACCCAGAGGAACAAACTGGTACACTTCTACCTCCAGCCATTGCTAATGGTGAACTATGAGAGAAGAAAAAAGGAGAGGATGCTGAAAAAGAAAGAAAACAGAGAGGATGGGGGAGTTAAAGAGATAAGCACAACAGTTAACAATGTTACCAGCCACCCAAATACCTGGGGCCAAAGATAATATATCATGCTTCGTTACGGAAATTTCAGTGAATGTTCTACCAAACTCTGCAAGTGTGTCTGAATCAAGTTCAAAGAAAATATCTTGTTTCTTTTATCTCCCTTCTTCAGTTTCAACTATCTCCAACATACAATTTTCTTCCATAGGATTAAAAAACAAAAATCAAGTAGCTGCTTTCTTCTGGAATAAATTATTTAAAGTCCTGCTTTCTTTCCTGCAATTTCCTAGCCACAAAAAAATCACTGGTGTCTACAGGTATCTCAATTGGTAAAGAATGAATATTAGTGCTCCTCTTTTCAATCCTTCTATCTTTCAATTCCTTCTTCCTTCTACCTCTCTTTTCAGAATCAACAACAATTCTATTTACAAGTTCTTCACGTTCTGCTTTATCCAAAGGAGTCTCAACACTAACAATAACAACATCCTGAATCAGGTGTTACAGTACTAGTAACAACATGAGCAGAAGAACTTGGTGTACAAACAAAAATAGGTTTTGCAGAAGTATAAACAGATTTAGATATTGTAGAAGCAGAAACTTGAGGAATATCACCAACATGAACAACGGGAACATAAGTTATTGGTGTATGTACAGAAAGAGGTATTGCAGAAACAACAACTTCAGGAGTAGCAAGAACAGAAGCCTTTGGTGGAAGAACAAAACCAGAAGAAGCAGGTAGAAGTGTAGAACAGAACCTTGTGCTGAAGTAGCAGATAACTTCTTTCTCTTATCAATTAACACTTGCAATATTTCACTAGTGCGCCTTAAATTCTTTACCTGTAAAAGATATAATCGAGTAAAAGATAACAGAATAGATGAAATCAAATAATAAATAAAAAGAAAGAATCCAGTAAATAGAGGATATTCATACATATAAAGAATATAAAATATCAAGAACATATATAATCAATATACATAATTTCAAAAATAAATAAAATATATTATTATTCTGAAATAAATATCAATTACATAAACAATTCAAAAACACTAGAATATTTTATATTTATGTAAAATATTACAGCATGTTTTTATATTTAAGATACCTTATCATGGAGGAAGAGAGGTAGCAGGAGGAAGAGTAGTGGTAGGATGATGTTGTGAAGAAACAGGAGGAGGAAGGGGAGGTTCAAAGGTTGATGAAACAAGTGGATTAGTTGGAGGAGGTAGAAAGGATGGTGAAACAGGAGAAGAGATTGTCTAGAAATTGGAGGAGGAGAAGGTGCTTCTTGACTATCAATAAGGTTAAAGTTGGGAGATGTAAAATTAACACCTATCTATTTAGATGCAGAATTAACACCAACTTCTTGAATAACATTCTCATTTGACTCCAAATTCTCATTTGACTCCAAATATACCCATACCAATCAAAATCTTTGATTTTATTGACATCAATCAAAGATTTAACAACACTAATGTTAAGAGACTTGTCACCATAAGGTGTTAAAAAATTAGTCCATAAACCATAAAGAGTCTCTTCAAATGATCTCCACCATCCTTTAAAGCCTCAAATTTCTCCTTCCAAACTTCCAAATTTACATACTCTTTTTGGCAACAGACTTAGCTCCTAGAGCCTTCTCTTCATTCACAAACTTATCTCCAAAAGACTTCTCCTTATTTCACAGACATATCTCCAGAAGACTTCTTTTCTGTCCTAGATGTTGAAGGAGCTAGAAAAACAAAAAAGATTACATTAGTTAATATATAGAGGATATCAGTAGCATAATGAAGTATATTAAGAAACCTATCGGAAAATCAATTAAGAACATCATAACAAGGATAAAAAATATACAGAACACAAGAAAGAAATAATAACTACAATAGAGGATATCAGTTAAGAGAATATAGGACATAAATTAAATAATTGAGGATATAATATAACTAGGAGAAATATAATTAAGAAAAATAAAAGACATCAATACCTTTGTCACCAAGTTTTTCACGTTTCAAAGCAGCTGTTCCAGATAGAAAATTAAATTTCTTCTTCTATGGCTTGATAACTTCAGCTTTCTCAGCATCATCTAAACCAAAAAGTCCCTCCATTCCTTGATTATGTCCTATCTGGATTTTCAACATGCTTCATTTTTGACAATTCAATAGACAAATTATTATAATATCCTTTATCATTAACATAATAAAAGACCAATAAAGGATATAATTAAAACAATGGAGAAAATCATTTATTAAATAGAGGACATCATCAAGAGAATAGAGGACAGTGTACAAAGGATTAGATACAGGACATCATCAAGGGAATAGAGGACATCATCAAGAGCGTAGAGGACATCATATATTAGAAAAAGCACAATATACAAATTAAAGAATTAAATACAGGACATCATCAAAAGAATAGAGGACATCATCAAGAGAATAGAGGACATCATTTATTACATAGAGGACATCATCAAGAGAATAAAGGACATCAATCAAAGAATTAAAGGATATCATGTATAGTAGCATAGGATATCATGTACATCAATAGAGGACATCATCAAAGCAATATAGGATATTATCAAAACAATATAAAATAAAATCATTACAAAGTGAGACATCAGTAAAATAACAGAGTATATTATATGCATAATACAGGATATAATAAAAAATACATGATATCTACTAAAACAAAAATAAGGTACTTTAGCATAATGATAATCAGGATACAAAATATGATATCAAAGAATACATATTAGCAAACAAGCGTTTATATCCTCAATAATAAAATACGAATTATCTATTCAGGCAGAGACATAACAAACCTAGTTTCGGTGTTTAACTTTCTCTTCGACGTTTTGTTCGAAGATTTTCTGCCAATCAACAATCAAATTTTCAACACAAATTATGAAACACAAGTTGTAATTGAACTAGAAAATGGAAAATTAACCTAAATAACGTAAAGTAACATAGAAATGAAATTCAACAATAATAATCAACAATCGAAGAAGAAGATTGGAATAAAACATAAAATAACTTCATCAATAATAACTTCATCAACAATCATCATCAATAATAACTTCATCAACAGAAAAATCAAAGAGCACTTTAGCAAATTAAACAAAAAACTGAAAAACCTAAATGAAAACAGAAAATTCAAAAACAAAAATGTTCAAATGTATACCTAGAAGTAGAATTAGACTTAGGAGAAACATTATCATCGGAAGATAACGAAGGTTGAGTTGCATTCTTCGACCTCATCGTTGTTGATTTACGACGATAATAAGTACGACTAAAATCTTTCATAAAACAGCAATAATCAAGAAATAGAAAAGGAAACAAAGATGACGAACAGTAAGTAAGAATGCAGAGAAGCAAAGTATGAGTGAAGAGAAGAAGAAGAAAAATGGAGGAAAACTTGAAATTAAAAATGAACAAATGGCGGTTTATTTTGGAAAAAGAAAAAACAGGAAGAATAAACGTTGAGAGAATAAGTATGCTTGGAGTGATAGGTGACACATTTTTGGGATGGACAAATGTATTTAAAAACAGGTCGGGCCAACAAAATTGCTTTAAAAAAAAAGTCGGGCCAACAAAACTGCTGGACTGACGAAAGGGTTGGTCAGGCTTGACTGACCCTATAGTTTGTGTTTTTTTGTGTCCTTACCCTTGTTCACGTATTACTACGTAACAAGTTTAAAATTACGGTTTTCTCACCATATATTCATGAGTTTTTTGTTTATTCACCATATACCCCTAACTTTTTTAAATTCATCTTATACCTCCGAGTTTTCATAAAAATACACCATATACCCTTGATGACTAATGATTAGGGGTGTCAATTCGGTCTTCCAGTTCGTTTTAACCTCGGTTTGAATCGGTTTTGGTTTAAAGCGGTTCGGGTTGAAATGGTTTTATTTAGCTAGCGGGTCGGTTCGGATTGGTTTTGATTAATAACGATTCAGTTCGGTTTCGGTTTATTTTCGGTTCGGATCGGTTTCGGTTTTGATCCGAACCAAATGTTGCCTTCAAATCTTCAATCTTAATCATATCACCGCAATTTTTGATGATTTCACATCAAAAACCGCTAATTTCTGCACAAATTAATCGTATTTCCACTATTCTTTACAGCTTAAATTTCACTGAACATCAGTTGCAAAGTTGATACAAATCAACAAATAAACTCATTTAAAATGTTCTACTATTATTACTGAGCTCGCAACTTATTATCATCTGTTTCAGTTAATCAACATTATTCAAAATAACATTAAAAACTGTGGGAAAATCGACACAGAAAACAACAAAGTCATTACAGACAAAAATAAATAACAATAAAGACGAAAATCATCAAGTTTGATTGTTTTACAAATTAATCAGTCATAATTAGGGTTTAAATTACCTGTAAAACACCATAGATGACGAGAGTAACCATGATTCCGCCGACTGTAAAAGCTCCTTTTAATAGCTTGTTATCTTTCACAGCTACCACTGGAGACTCCATTGTTATGATATTTCTGTAAAATTAATCAATTCATCTTCAAAACAATCTCCAGAAATTTCGAAAACGAGGAAAATTTAACTCGATTTAGATCCAAGAAATTGAAAAAACTTTGATTTTTGGCCCAAAATTTAAACCCTAAATCTCTAATTAGAAAATTTGTACGGAGTAATAAATAAACAGTTAACCCTTTTCGAAGAAGAAACCCAGCTGAGAAAAAAAAATGTCTGTTTGTTTGTGACGTAGGATTTCAATTGACCAACGTGGACCCCAGATCGTTTTTTTTAGTTGGTACAATTTTGTTGCGTGTAGGGGTGAGCATTACCGGGTACCCGGTATATTTCCGAGGATCCGGTCCCGGTCCCGGAACCGGTTGTACCGGGTAGCTAAATCTTAGACTTGGTCTCGAAATCGGTTGTACCGGGTAGTCAAATTTCGGAACTTGTTCCGGAAATGTTCGGAACTGGTTCCAAGACCGGGTACCTGGTTCTTTAACGGAGATACAAGTCAACAACTCAATGAACAAAGTTCCAAAAACAAAACAAGAGCATGTCCAATGTAATTTCAACAATAACCAAAGCAACATTTCAAGTGCAATTAACAACAATCAATCCTCCACAATAAAAATCCCAACATGCAACAATAAATTAAAACCATAATAATCACAAAATTATAACAAATATATGAAAAAAATCATATACCTAAGAGAACCACCAGAAGAATTGACAAAAAGGCAAATATCTTTATCATACTACCAGATTTACGATGCTTGACGCTAGTTCTTCGAGTGCTACTCAGCGAGGTTCTTTCAGGTGACTAGGCGAGGGGGTGGGGATGTAGATAGGTTGCTTTAATACTTAGGGTCTTTCTCGCTAATTGCCCCTTTGATTCTTATCGCGCTCTCCATTACTTAGGGTCTTTCTCGCTAATTGCCCCTTTGATTCTTATCGCGCTCTCCATTACTGAATGTGTGAGTGTTTTAATTGAGAGTACAAATTAATACATGATTACGCTAGGTTTCGAAGCATAGTGAAGAATTTAAGCAACCATTGCACATAAATGATCATGAACTGAATTAGGGGAAATTAATACATTTAACTCACTTCCACACAATCATACATGATAATTATCCCAACTAAATTAATTCACTCCTGCGCAACCAACCTAGCGTAATCATGGATTAATTTTTACTCTCAATTAAATCACTCGCACATTCAGTAATGGAGAGCGCGATAAGAATCAAAGGGGCAATTAGCGAGAAAGACCCTAAGTATTAAAGTCACCATCTATATATAGGTAATACCTATATATAGAGTATGAACTTCAAATTTTCGTGATAATACCTAATTAGACAAAAGAGTATGAACTTCAAAGTTTCGACAAAATAGGTAATAGTTTCAACAAAATAATACCTATGTATTAAAGTCACCATGTATATATAGGTAATACCTTTATATAGGTAATACCTATATATAGGTAATAACAAAATTAGACAAAAGAGTATGAACTTCAAAGTTTCGAAATAATACCTAATGCCAATTGCTAATTTTCGCAATTTTTGTTTCGAAACTGAAGAAATGTAGGTTATAGAACTTGAATTGTGCTTATATAGAGTAATTAAGCAGTTGAAAATTGCGGTTATGTTGGTTTTTCGAAGATTTTGGGCAGTTGAAATTGGCGGAGGAGAGAGAGAGAAAGAGAAAAAATGGCGCCTGAAATTTTCGTGCCTCATTCAATTTGTCTGAATTAATTTGGGCCATTAGATCACGCCTCTGCTCTCAGATTTGACGGTCCAGATTAGTTCCTAGTTCCTATTATAGGGTTGGTTCTCATTATAACCTGGTCTAATATATATATATATATATATATATATATATATATATATATATATATATATATATATATACTTTAATACTTAGGGTCTTTCTCGCTAATTGCCCCTTTGATTCTTATCGCGCTCTCCATTACTGAATGTGCGAGTGATTTAATTGAGAGTACAAATTAATCCATGATTACGCTAGGTTGGTTGCGCAGGAGTGAATTAATTTAGTTGGGATAATTATCATGTTTGATTGTGTGGAAGTGAGTTAAATGTATTAATTTCCCCTAATTCAGTTCATGATCATTTATGTCCAATGGTTGCTTAAATTCTTCACTATGCTTCGAAGCCTCCCACCCCTAACGCTTTATCCTTATTGTAAATCGTTCTATAGTTGTGAGGTTGCATTGGTCTTCTTTTTCCATTTGTCTTTGGCCTGGCCTTGTTTATTGCTTTAATTGAAATGAATCTTTGTCCCTTAGTCCTTGTGGTTAGACTTTAAACTTTCCGCTAGACTTGTTTATAGGTTACTTTAAAATGTATAAATATTATTTGATTGAGGAGATAGTAAAGACCTATTTTCCTGCCCTTATCAATAGTACTTGTTATTACCACCTTAAAATTCATATCTATATATTTCAATAACAATTATGATAAAAACACATTTCACCCCTTCCTTGTCTTAATATAAAAGAGGATATATACATTGTATCAATAAATGATACTATAATACTGCTATCAAATGCATTATTTAGGTAGTTATAGCATTAGTTCAAAGTTTAACCTTAAAACCAAAGTCTTCAAGTATAGCATGTCTATCGCCATCTTGACCTATGTGAACCTTAAAGAAATCTTTATACTTAAAAGCCTTAAATAGTGGAGGATTGAATTATGCTTGAATAAGCTCCTTTGCTGGCTCCACAATGCATTCATATGATGGATTAATGAAGAACGCAACGCTTGTTCGCACCTTAGTGGCATTTCTCACTCTATGCAACGTAGCTTTTAACTCCCCATTACTTCCAACCTACACCAAATTGTACATCAATTATTGTCAATAATAAGTTACATAATTCATACAGTAAGCTCGTGCATAATAATCTACTTTATTTTTTTTTTAATGAATGTTTATTTTTTATTTCAATTACATGATTTAAGCAACATATCTCGCAAAATCAAAGATTTCGATAAAGAAATTCAAGTGAAAGAGTGCATATATGAAACTTTACCTCAAGTTGATTGCCAACAAAGACGATAAATGCATCAGGAGCGGTATTAACACTCAACCATTGGCCATCCGTAAAGAGTTCAAGGCCAAGAACATCGAGAGGCACAACTTGAAGAATGGTTCTAAGGTTGGGATCTGTATGCTTAGCTAATCCAAGAGTTAAACTTGGATTAGGGCATGATGGGTAATGATTGACAGTCAAGATATTATCTGCACTTAGATCACTTGCAAAGTATGCTTTTTCTAGCCCAATTCCCTCTGATATGCACTCCAAAATCCTTGCACCTAGATCATTCAATTTTGTGACATATGCCCCTACTATCTCCCTGAAAACATTTAAGCACTCATGTAATTCATTAATAATTCTTTCATTAGCGTTCATCAACTTTACTTGCATAATTTAAAAAAACATACTCTGTATTATAATATTTAATCATGTGTTAATGTTTTTTGTTAATAGTAATACGCAATTAAAAACAATAATGCTAAAAAATGATTTTGAAAAACTTTGAAAAGGAAAGGACAATTTCAATTTTGCTACCACCAAAAGGCAGACACCTCAGTTTTGTTACCCCTCCAAATTTTTTTTTATTATACTACCACCTAAATCACAGTTATTAAAAATTGCTACTACTTAACGGAATGGGTTAGGATTCTGTTACTTTAATAAAAAATAAAAAAAAGTAAATTAAATTAAATTAAATAATAATAAAATAAAACAATAACCCAGATTCCCGGCAGCCGCCCTACCACCCTCCCCCTACCCCATTCCGGCCACCAACTCCCTTCCCTTCCCGATTCCGGCCATCCCCTCCATTCCCCACCCCGTTTTCGGCCACCCCATCCCTTTTCCTCCCCGATTTCGTCCACCCTCCCTCCCCCTAGCCCACCACCGAAACCACCTCCCTACCTAGCCATCGCCAAAAGCCCACCCCTTCCTCAGTCCCAAAATCCCACCACCTCCCCTTCTCCAGCCCGAAACCTCACCCAAAAACCGCATCTCTGACCCATAAACACCAGCCCGAAACCAAATGGATTTTAGGGTTTCGCTTATGGTGGTTTAGGGGTGGTGTTTATGGGTTAGGGGTGCCGGTTTTTGGGTGGGGGAAGGAGAGGTGGGGTCGATTCAGGGTGGGGGAAGGGGAGGGGGGCCGATTCCGGTGGGGGGGATGGGGAGGGAGGGTGTTTTCCGATTTCGGGTGGTGTTGGGGCAGCGAGAAAGGGATAAGGGAGGGGGGGTGGGTTGCGTTGGTGGGGAAAGGGATTGGGGTGGGTCGCCGGCGCCGGCCAAAGCGTTGGGCGCCGGTCGCCGGCAGGGGGGGTGGTGGGCTGCAAAGGTGGAGGAAAGGGAGGGGGGAGGGTGGCTGGGTTTTTCTTTTTTTTTTTTAAAAAAAAACATTTTAATTTTTTTTATTATTTTTTTTTATTGAATAAACTTAACGGAATTCTTAGTGGTAGCAATTTTTAACAACTGTGATTTAGGTGGTAGTATAATAAAAAAAAAAAAAATTGAAGAGGTAGCAAAACTGAGGTGCATGCCTTTTGGTGGTAGCAAAATTGAAATTGTCCAAAAGGAAAGGATGATTGTAAATAATGAAAATGTTAATTGCCTATAATTTTTGGGATTTTGAGGCCAAAACTTAATACACTCCTCCAAAGGACTACAATGGTGCTTCAAAACATCCCTCCAATAGTGAAACTTTTCATTGTTAAAGTTGTAGCTGCTTGAGTACATTCTGCAATACTGATTTAAGTCCTCTTTCATGTTAATTTTTAATTTTTTTTTGAAGGTAACTCAAATACTCCCTTGAACACTTCCAATGCTTCATTCATCATATCTTTTGAAACTCCATGATTTATCACCTACTCCCAAGGGAAAAAAAGGGCAATGAAAATTATTTTTGCTACATATAATTAGCCCAAAAACTATCAATAGCTTGATAATATCTTATTATC